CTTGATGTATCTCCTTCATCGCTGTAAAAAATCCTTTGGCTATTATATTTGTAACTTGTAACATAGAATTCAAATGATATTTGTTTCGTCACCTTGAATAATCTGACAGGTCTATATTAGTAGGTTCATCAGCATTGGATCCTTCTTGCAAAAGACGCGTCACAATTTTTGTTCTCAATCTCTCCTTACTCGGGCCCTCATCGTAAAAATCGAGTAGAGTCTCGCAAAATGTTTTACCTAAACTTTCATAGTCTTGAACGGAAAAATGAGTAGACATCCTGCTACCCAGCTCGGAACCACCAAAAGATGCTTCCATTGTATAACTGTTGGCTACGCCCAACATCCAAACAACGACCCTTGCTGTACCCTCCTTACTACGCTGAATGCGAAACTTGCAATTTTCGAAGGAAAACTGGAATAATATATTATTTTAGAATATTTTCGACTTCCATCCGTGTATTTGCTTGTGTCATACCTACTTTATCGGCAGCATTTTTATGTAACATCAGCGGAAATACTTGTTCTTGTAGACGTTTATCAGAATTTCGCCTACTCTCGCAACCGTAGATAAAAATGTTATGTTTGCGTGAATGTGCATGCAGATCCACATACATTGCGATACCGCATTCTTCCTGTAACCTAAGAAAAATCATAGGCTCATATGTATTTATTTGATTACTGACTACTAAGTTTTATAGATCTGTTGTCTTGCCTTCGAATCATCACTTTGGTATGCCAAACGGGTGGATAAGTTTCTCGAATAACTGTTCTATATTGTCTATTTAAATCTTTTCCAGTTAGTGAGCAGCGATTATTTCCAACGATGACCTAAAATAAGCAATTATATTATACAATAAATAAATTATGATTATTATAATCGTGTTACTTTTACTTACACCATCCGGATTCAGCATTGGAACTAATTTGAAAATGAATTTTTCTCTCAATTCACGTGCCTGATTTGAATCTCCTGTTAAGTAATCCATAAAACCTTTCATCATCCAGGACGCCGGTGTTTCCCCAGGATGTACTCTTGCTGTTACTATGACTGCCTTCTTTTTCTAAAATTTTATGTTATTTTTTTTTATTTTTAATCAATTTAATAGCAGAGATTTCCCATTTCTTACCTTTTGATCCATTTCATTTTGATTTTGTGGTGCCGTGATTGTTAAGTAATAAACGTTATTCCCTGCTAACGTGCGACACAAAAGTCTTAATTTCGAAAATGTTGACTTAACGGGATGGGCTTGTAATCTCGAAAGATACTCTTGTAGATCAGAATAAGTATATGGGTAACAATGAGCGAGGTATACAGCATCATCTGAATGCGGAAACTCAATATTGAATGTGAGCGTATAGCTGGGAAATTGCTCCTCTTCTTCACATCTGAAAAAGCGCTGTCATGAAAATGAGAACTATTAATAATAATAATTATTATTTGCAAGAATATGGTAAAAAAAATGTGTAAGGTGGTAGAATCGTAAGTTCGCATATTCTGCCACAAACAATGGCGCGCAAATTTGTCTTTGTAGGAATTTTACATTTTACATTATTGGTCATATGAATTGGTCAGTTCTTATATTATTTGTATCGTACATATCATATCATACGTTATTAAATTTATATCAACTACAGTGTCTCACGGAAATAATAATCATTTATTAAATAATACATTTAAGCTTTGTTATTCAAGGTTGCGAAGTATATTTACGTAGGTTCGTTTTTGTAGTATGCAATATTGTCGCCGCACCGTCTCCAACCGATCGAATGCAGCTGTGCGTCCTTGGTGGAATATAGTAACGGCCGCATTCCCTCATTGTATAAACTATCAGGCTTTGATAAATTTACTATGGAAAATCTGCAAGGCAAATAGTGAATTGAAATGACATAAAACAGTAGGTATATTCAAATAAAGAAGCGTTGATCTATCAACCCCCGGTGTGTTGTCATGTATTCAAATCTAGACATGAGATTTTTCTTTTCTTGTATATTTTTCCCAGCACCCCAGATCCGGCATGTGTTAGACACTGTACTTTCATATACAAAAAAACAAATGCAATGGACCAATTGGCGATAATTAAAAACGACACGGCATCATTATTAAGCAATAGATTACAGTGAAATTATAATTACCTGTACATCGTTTGCTTTTTCGTTTTAGATACTTTAAAATAAAACCACTGAACATGTCTATTCGTATAGAGATCAGTCCGTAGATGTAATTCGTAGTACGCTGATGTGATCTTGATTGCCTTCGCAAGATTTCCACTCTCAAAGCGAGATTCGAACCGTAATTCATCATCGCCGCCAGCAGAAGTGCACGCTGATATAAAAAGCCGCGATCCTCCGACACTTGACCGGCTAAACTAAAGAGAAAATTGTTTCTATATAGAAAACAAAATATGTCGTAATGTGTAAAACTTTGAACGAATAATACACTAAACTCACATAATTAACAGCGCTCATAGGATAATATTGAAATACGACTGTTCCTGCTTCCTCTCCAACGGGCTGCGGTTTTAATTCCTTACCAGTTGCGACATAGTATGGTTCAGGTGACGCTGGACTCCAGGTTAAGTGTTGTATCCTTTCCTCTATTACCTGTTTTAAGTAAATATTCAGTAACATCAAGTAAATAGTGGATATTATATGTTAATAAGTCTTTATGCTTACTTGACATTCTGACGGCCATCGTGGCGCCTGCTGTGGGCAATCCAACTCTTTTGGCAAAGCGAACAAGTCCCTAGGTTCTTTAAGTTTTGCAATTGTTTTAAATGTTTTAATGTCTGTATTGATTTCTAGTTGATTCGTTTTTAAATTGTTTTGTAGGAAGTTTGAAATAAACGTACCTGAAATAAAAACCGGTTTTGGAGTTTATGATAGCCGGTTTCTTAAATATAATATACGTAATTTTGCACTACCTCTCAAATATCAGACTATGTATACCTTTATTACATATGGGAAATAATGATGCCTGTAAAGTTTTTACTTGTTCTAAATTGGCTATCAATAAGTTATCTCTGAAAACGGGGTCTCTGTTTGGCAAAGTTAAGGTCAAAGTTGTATTTTCGGCATAGTCTCTCCCCTGCTCCTCCCTTTCAATCATTATACAATTTGCTTGGCCGCGTTCCAGATGTTTCCACCATAACATTGTAAAGTGACAAACTTGACTAAGTTTTCAACTTTTAACTAGTTAATCTTATCGCATTTTGAAGGACTACTTTCTGTAACCATGGTTTCACGAAAAATTTGTGTGATATAGGATTGATTTTCGGGTGCGACACGGCGATTTCAACAACGCACGAATTCCTACTGAAGTTATTTTGTAAGGGGCCAAAGTTACGGATATTTGGAAATAAAAAGTGACGTGTAGCGAAGCTTGTGGATTGCGTCAGCAAGTTGTATTTCAATTTGATTGTTCGTCGAAAACATCGCGTTTCGCTGAATAATTATTAACTATTAAAAGTTGAGAGGTACCTACCGATATTTTTCTCGCTAATAGCTTCCATTAACAGCTATCAATTAAAAAAGTATTCTAAGCTCACACGTTATCAAACTTTTTTTTGTAATATTAGTTTATTTATAATTCGAAAATTGTCATTAACTTGTGTCCTGCCTATAAGGTAGACACTATTCCGCGAGAACCTGAAAGGTGACTGCACTTCTCGCTAGGTGTTGTTCGCTCGCTAAAGTTGGATGGAAATGTGCAAACTTTCCGATTGATAAAGTTTTCACACAAAGAACGCATTGAAAGAATATTTTAAATTTTAAAATTCAAAGTTATATGTCTTTTTGAGAACGATAACCTCAAATAATATGATATTGAGGTATAGGAAAATATTTTCTGTAAGACATTTTTATTTCTTGGGTAACAACATATTTCTTGCATCTGCTGACGATCATAAATATATGATCTTTATGTCTTGGGTCTGACGTGGAAATATAATAAATACAAATGGAATATTTAAAAGTTTTAAGTTCTCAGTCATAAATTAAAGTTGTCACACCCTTGTAGCCTTGGAAACAATTTCATTTGATCGATATAGCATATTCAGTAGAACTACAATTTCTTTTGTTTCCCTTTGACAAAGTTTATAGTTACTGAAAGTAGGAACTTATTACATTTAACGATACTGTAAGTTATATTTCTTTGTCTATAATTTATATCAGAAACTTATAAGACGCATGCTTACTAAAATTTAAAATAACACTAATTTAAGAACCCATTATAGCCTTTTTATTTAATCTAGCCAATACAACTGTCATAACAAAACTGAGTTAAAAATAGGCGTTCGTTTAAAAATCGAACGTTCGGTTTTTAAACGAACAATGTGCTTCGGTTATAAAGGATTAAGGGTTGCCCAAAGAGGTTATTGCCCGGTTCCTGGCACTGGATTCCACGGGCTATGGGTCGATTATAAGCCTGTCTGTCTCGTGTCAACACATCAATGAGCTTTACACAAAATAGGCCACATCATGTTGTTTAGGAATTAGGAAAATGAACTTTCAAATTTACTAATTTTTTTCTGAATTAATTATTCAGTTAATTCTTTTATTTTTGTAGTATAAAGGTAAGAGATAAAAGAGGTATTCCTATGCATTTTTGAAAAGAACAAAATTTTTTCATACAAATATTTAATTATTATTATTATTTTTAATTTTTAATCCATCTGCAATCAGCCTCATGGCTTTTATCAGATTTTATGAGAAATAATGGCAATTAGGGAACGCAAATCCAATAAATTTTTTATTCCCTACGTAATTCGTAAACTGTCAGACTGCGGCAAGTTTTGCCCTTTTCAGCCGATACACACTGCCGTCGTTTCCAAGAGGCCCGAAGCTAAGGGGGTTGACGTGTTGCTAAAGTCTCATTTTGTATATATATATTTAATGAAAAAGTATTTTACGTCATCGATACTTTAACAAATTCACGAAAAGTTTGTCGATTCTCATGTGTTTTAAATTTCTAACCAATCTCTTGATATTTTTCAGAAGCAATAATGGGCCGTAAAGCAGTAGTAGCAGTGTGCACTCTTAATCAATGGGCTCTGGACTTTGAAGGCAATTTGAACAGGATTCTTGAATCTGTTCAAGAAGCAAAAGAGATGGGTGCATTATATCGTACTGGGCCTGAGTTAGAGGTTTGGTAGGTCTCGAACTTTCGTTTATGAAGCATGAATCCATGGCTTTTATTTGCAAGAATAATGCATTACGTTCGTTATATGTTACAGTGTCATTGATAGAAAACCAAACATGGCTTGGTTTCCCATTTTATTTTTGTATAATCAAAATATATTACTATTTACTATATTATTAATCAAGTGCGGATACTAATTAATTCAACGGACAAGGCATTTTCTAACAGATCCTGCTAATAGAGTAATAAGTATTATTCATTTAGCATTTAGTATAGTACATGTTAGGTCAATTTATAAGTAATAGCTACTGAATTATTTTTTTAATTTATGCGGTTTTTAACTCCCTAAACCGCCCGGGGCGTGCGGGAGGGCCCCATTCTAATTTTTACGCCAGCCAGGTTTTTTGATCTGTACTTACTGGGATATTTTTCCGGGCCCGGCCCGCCCCGCCCCCTTATTCCCACCGCAAAAACCCGGGGGGCCCCACCAAAAAGGGGGGGGGGGGCGCGGGGCAACCCCCCCGGGCCTACCCCGGGATAGTGTGGACCCTGCTTAAGACATCTTCATTATTCGGGCATTTATAAAAAACTTAAGTTAACGAAGTTTTTATTCAGCCTGAAAAATAGTTCGTCTCCCATCAAATGCCGGCAACGCGTCCAATAGAAAGAAAGGGTGTCTATGGGCATTTGCCAGCATAGACCCTGCCAAACTTTTCGCGTTCGCAGGCTTCACACACGGGTTTGCCTCGCCCATTTTATATTTAAAAAACTTAATGATCAACGAAGCCTAGAATTTATACTTAGACGACTCATTGGTCAAGTGGTACTGACTGCGAATTTAATGAGTCCCACGTAATTGTACCCGGCAGAGACGAAAGTCATCGATGTGATGAACTATTTGGTGCTGTACTAACGTCTTGGGAGTTTAAAAATGTATTGATAAATCTAACAATCTATAATATTTATTGGTTCATAAGTTAAAAAATGCCTAAGTACCCATACCACAAGTTATCACAGCTTAGTATTTTATATAGGTTACAAAATATGGAGTCAAAAATCTCACAGAAAATTCACACAAGAAACTTATTTGCAAAATCTATATTTTTCTATAGTTCTATGGTATATTTATGCATTTTTATCTTTTATCATCTATGTTTCCAGTGGCTACAGTTGTGAAGATCACTTCCACGAATCCGATACATTCCTCCATAGTTGGCAAGTTCTTGGTGAACTGCTGAAGTCAGCAACATGCAGTGATATTCTCATAGACGTCGGTATGCCCGTACAACATCGTAATGTATCGTACAACTGTCGTGTGGTGTTTCTAAATAGGAAAATACTATTGATTAGACCAAAGATGTCCATGTGTGAGGATGGTAATTATAGGGAATCGCGGTGGTTTTCCAGTTGGACGAAGGTACGGTATACTATGAATATAATAATATGAAAGACTTGTTCTTGGTCTCAGATTTGTGTATATGTTATGTGACCACGATTTTCTAATAGGCAAGTAGGTGATCAGTCTTCTGTGCCTGACACATGCCATCGAATTTATGTATCTTAAAATATTAATTACATATTCTCAGGAATGTCGCTACTAAAACTCGCTCCGAAAAAATAAAGATATTGACTGAGACAATAGACGCTAATTAAATATATATAAAAACGTGTGTGTAATTAGTATGTACATGCGTTAGATGTTATACTTCTTTGGCGTAACAAGATAAAAATCTTTTCAAAAATTGTATTCTGCGTTTGTAGAAAAATGACACTAACAATAGAAAAAACGTATTTAATACATTGAAAGATTTATCATAACGCATTATCTAGTTAAAGAAATGGACACTTTGTATTTTAGCATCCAATTTATACATATTGATATTTACAATTTAATTCACGTCCATATTTGGTCGGAGTTCAGTAGACGTGTAGGTTACAAGAGGCTTATGATAGCTAGAGTATGATACAAATATTCTTGTAGAAACATTGTCGAAATATCATACAAATACAGCATTAATAGTTGTAATAAAAAAAACTAAAATGTTAGTTGTATAAAAAAAAACTAAAAAGCTAACTTCAGGGTGTCGGTTTTTTGTGACGGTTTGCGCGCGCATCGTATAAATTTACTCTCATCATTTTTCCCTAACGTACCAAAAGTATAACTTCAAAACTAAAATGTTGACTATAGCTAACTTCAGGGTGTCGGTTTTTTGTGACGGTTTGCGCGCGCATCGTAAAAATTTACTCTCATCATTTTTCCCTAACGTACCAAAAGAAGTATAACTTCAAAACTAAAATGTTGACTATAGCTAACTTCAAGGTGTCGGTTTTTTGTGACGGTGGGCGCGCGCATCGTATAAATTTACTCTCAAATTTTTCAGGGAATCTTCTAGATAACAATAGTTCTATGTGTTGATCTGATGAATTAATTTCCAGGAACGTCAAATAGAGGATTATTATCTACCTCGTATGATTGCCTCTATAACGGGTCAGACCACCGTGCCCATTGGTGATGCAGTAATTGCTACTAGGGACACTTGTATTGGGTTCGAGATTTGTGAAGAACTTTGGAATCCTCAAAGGTATAGTTTTAATCGCAAAAACAATTTTTTTATACAAAATATAATAAAACTTTAGTTGTATAAACAAAAGACTATTCAATGGCTAATACAGACACTTAATGTGTTTGTCAACACACAATTAAAAAAGAACTATATTAGAAGTAGATAAGTAAAATCCTAATTTATACCGAAACAAAACTTAAAAATGTAATGTTTTTTAAACTATTCAACTGTAGCTAAGAAACTGATATTTTTAACAGGACTATTACTTTATAGTCTAATCGTGTCAAAAGTAAAAAAAATTTTTTTAATTCAACCATACTTAGGCAAAGGCAATTTCACAAAATAAGTTACATTTACGAATCACATACATTTTTTTATATCAATCAAAACAATTAATAGATAGAAAAAAACAACACGATATTTACAATGTAAAATATTTACAAAATGCTTACTTTATTTAAGGGTTCTTAAATCTAAGTGACACTTCAATATAAGTATACTCTTTTTGGACATTATCGGAAACGAGAAGTTTATATTATAATTTATGAGTGTGGAAAAAACTAAAGGGCTCATTTTGGCTTCAAGTGTGCGATAATTGCCAACATTTGGTTTACGGTTCTAATTATTTACTAAAATATATATAACTAATCAATCAATCAATAAAAATCATTCATTCATATATAGTCGAATTTTTAATTAGACGATATCAACTGACGTTTACGGTGTTGTCAGTTTTTAATGAAATAAAAATAGTGTTGTGACAAAGTAAAAACCCCTGAATTAATGATCGGTGATGGCACTAGTCGCCGCGCCGCGCTTTGTAATAAGACGTCAAAAAACTGATTGTAGTTACATAGTACTAGTACCTAACTTATATCAGAGCACTTTTATACAATTTTGAAATAGAAATAATATTCTTTTATTGTTTGAAATGATTGACTATTCACACTCATTGTTCATTCATCTGATTGAACAAGAACTGAACGCATCACTATTACTTTAAATATGGCAACATTATTTTACAAAGTGACATTAGCTACTGTCAGTTGGCTTCGTCTAATTAAAAATACGACTATAGGTAACACAATGTACACTTATGAACGTCAAAAAAGAAACATACATTAAATTATTCTAATTTTAAATTTAGTAGTAGTACTCAAATCAAGGGCGTCGAACGGAAGAGAAGAACCCTTTTCCAATGGGTTTCATCCTACTATTATTTTTTTAGGTTTCAAAAATTATCGACACGGGTCTATGACTGATAATGGAGTGATAAATTTTACAATCATATAATATATTAATTGTGAGCCAATTAACCTTAGGCTGAGCTTTTACATGTCTTTTTATACATACTATTATTTATACCTATTCTTTAGATTTTATTTTATTTAATTTTAGTTATAGTTGCATGTTATTTTTAGTATCTTTTTGTTAATTAATTATGCATCTCTTGTACTTTACCCTCTGTAGGGGTTTCTTTTTTTTCTATTGTTCCATTTTAGGGTTGCCTGGAAGAAATCGCTTGTTAGCGATAAAAAATACTTTTTCTTTCTATATGTATGTGTATTATGGTAATGAAGTATTAATAAATAAATATTTATCTTACAGCCGACATATTCCTCTAAGCCTAGACGGAGTGGAAATAATATCTAACGGGTCAGGGAGTTACATGGAGTTGCGGAAAGCCTATGTTACTGTGGATTTAGTGAAAAGTGCGACATTCAAGAGCGGTGGGGCGTATTTGTTCAGCAATTTGAGGGGCTGCGACGGCCAACGGATTTATTTCAATGGCTGTTCGTGTGTGGCTGTTAATGGAGATATCGTTAGCCGGGGATTGCAGTTTGCGCTAAAAGATGTGGTGATTATACAATTATTATATACGACTAGCTGACCCGGCAAATGTTGTTTTGCCATGTACCTATATTATTTCTAGGAAAAAAATTGTTAGTTCAATAAAAATAACTATCTACAATAATAAAAAATAAGGGTTGATCGTAGAAGAGTGAAAATTAGGGGTTGTATGTATTTTTGTATGTTGTATCATAAAAAAATTGTCTAAAAAATAAAAAAATAAAATTTTGGGGTGAACACCCCTTATCGCTTCTGGGTTTGAAAGATAGATAGTAGCCGATTCTCAGACTTACTGATTGTGCATAAAAAAATTCATAACAATCGGTCGAGCCGTCTCGGAGGAGTATGGGAACGAACATTGTGACACGAGAATTTTATATAATAGACTATACATTTCCGTAAAAAAATTCTTATCGGTAGGGCCGTTGGCGCTACAACCTTTTAGGTCTGGGACTCAGATCTCTGCATTCTTCTTAATAGACAAGTAAGTGATTAGGCTTCCGTGACTGACGCCGTCGTCTTTTTGTGTCTAAGCCTTACTTATGACGTTTTTCACCGTATGAGTGAATGTTGATGTTGTCCATTGGGATACAGCCAGGATCGAACATACGACCTCAGGGATGAGGGTCGATCGTTGAAATCATAATCCGATACTGCCAAATTATTTAGTGTCTGCGGAAAGGTACTAGTATTTTTGCCAAAAAAATTGCCTATATTTATATATATATATATATATATATATATATATATATATATATATGCCTTATTGGATACTATAATAATAAGGATTACATAAAGTTTGTTATTATTATTAGTACACCACCTCCAATGACTGATTGATTTACATAAATGTTACAAAATTTACATAAACACTTCGCAGCATACGTACTTAGAGAGCTATGTTTCTTTGTATAAAATTAAGAATTTTTTAAATGTTATGTCTGGCCTTGTGTATTCTATTGGCAGTGAAACAATGATTGACAGCGTTTCGTTGGATTATGAATCAACATCATCATCACAAAAAATAATAGATAATAAAGAAAAACTTAATTACACATAATAAAAAATGTACAGTAAAATGAGAAAGTTCCACCCACGCTAGGATTCCCTGTATCGTGGGTAAATCTCTTCCATTTGACATACTTATGATTATAGGTACCTTAAGTAATAAATTCTACACAATACAGTCGACTCCCGATACTTTGAAACTCAAAGGATCATAGGTACATTTCAAATTACCAAGAGTTCAAAATAACAATTGTGAAATAACCACGAGGGGAGGGGGGGCGTAAATGATTGATTCAAGTACGTGATTTATTATTTCCTCTTTTTTTTTTTTTTTATGTAATAGGAGGCAAACGGGCAGGAGGCTCACCTGATGTTAAGTGACACCGCCGCCCATGGACACTCACAATGCCAGAAGGCTCGCAAGTGCGTTGCCGGCCTTTCAAGAATTGGTAGAAGATTAGAGATAGATTTCTACATTATTGTTATGCATTTACAAATATTTATTTCAAAATAACTCCGAACTCTTCTCCGAACAGGATAAACACTTCCTTTGCTCATAAGTATAATTTCGGTTTGAGCATAAGACAGGTTTATAATGTGTAAATTGCGCCATCATTCGAATTTCGTTTTAAGTCTTAAGTCTGGAATATATTTCGCAGCAATCACTTTGATTATTTCAGGAAGTTATCCCTGCTACAATTGATCTGGAAGATATAAGGTCTTATCGGAATAGGATGCGCTCAAGGTCCCATTTAGCAGCGTCTAACAAGCCGTTCCCAAGAATAACAATTGATTTTACATTATCCGATGAAAAAGACACCAGTCTTGTTGTTAATAGACCTATTCAATGGAAATACTTGACGCCGGAAGAGGAAATCGCTTTAGGTAATTTGGAATAATTAATTAATGAACTATACAAGATAAAGGTTATATGTCGGTCATTTGACAGTTTACTTAAGTTTTTTACAGATTCAAAATTAATATGTAACATAAACTAAAAGTTAGTTTTTGGGCTCACCTGATGTTAAGTGGTACCGCCGCCCATAGACACTCTCAATACCAGATGGCTCGCGAGTGCGTTGCCGGCCTTGAAAGACAACTATAATAGACAAGTCGTGGCCGAATAGGCTTGTAGAATGTTATTATTGTAATATATGTCAGAAACAAAAATCGTAAAAGAATATTTGACAAATCCATTGAAAAGTTTCTTCTTCTTGAAGTGCCTCTCCACTAGTGGAGGTTGGCGGTCAGCTCGTCATACTCTTTCTTTTTTTTCGCAAAGCGCATCAGCTGTTATACGCTGGCCATTCCAAAGTTTCTGCTGAGAACATAAAACGGTTATGTTGTTCCCGCCAGGTCCAGCTTGTTGGCTGTGGGACTACTTACGAAGGTCCGGGCAAGGTGGATTTTTCCTACCGCTTAGTGGTGGAGTGGATTCTTCCAGTACGGCTTGCATTGTATACTCGATGTGTACGCAGATATGTGAAGCAGTTGAAATAGGAGGTAATTGAACTAATCATCATCATCATGAATGGCTGCGCAGCCCCTTGTGGACCTCAGCCTCTGCAGAGTGCGAAAAGAGAACTGTCGTGGGACTAAACTTGTCAACACTTACGTTTTTATAGTTCGACGATAATCATGAAGGTAATAAGAATTAAATTAGTTCACCGTTAAGATGGTTCTCTTTCGGCACAGACTCTTAAGGCTTTTAAAAATATATTTATGGTTGACAAAAACATTATCGTTTCACCATCCGGAATCCATATTAATTCAAGCAATCTTGTAGCCAATCACATTTCACTTCCTCTACGCGCGAGTAAAGGAACGGCAACAGACTTTTGGTTTAAAAATAATTTATTTAAATGAGCAGAGTGACAGCACTTATTTAAGAACTAAACAATAATCAACTTAATATCTATTTCTTCATGTATTTATACATTCAGATTACTTACTAAGTATTGGACGTTGCTGACGCACGACCTACATTTGGTTTCGTGCTAGCAAAGCATATATCAATAGGGTTGGTACTCTTAACTCGCGCGTAGTTCTCGTGAACTACACACTGGGCGCGTAGGCGTCAACTGTCAAATGAATATTTGTCAATTGTCATTATCGAAATCGAAAATGTCGAAATCCGACGCTTTCGCGCCGAGAACTAGTCTGCTAAATAATTATGAGTTACTAAGTTTGTCTTTTCTTATTACTTAATTTTCTGACTAGTTCATTGGAAATTTAATTGAACTAAATTCAGCATGTGTGAATAATAAAATACTTAAAGTTGGTGATTGAAAAGCTGTCAAAAATATAATTTGAATAGTTAATAGTAGTTCATGACAGCTACTATAACGGATTTGTTGGCTAAAATCCGGATGTTTTACTAAAAATGGATTCCGGATGTTGTAGGAAGCAGTAAGTTTTATTTGAACGTATAAATATTTTTCTCAAAAACATTTATTCGATTAGATTTTTATTGAATTAAGTATCAATTAAACAACCTTAATTATTAAATCATAAAATAATTTTATGAAATAATTGAATATAATATTATTCAGGAATTAGATTATTTTTGGACCATGTTCAAACACAATATGTGACAACACACAATGGAAAATAAATAGATATTTCATAAACAATTTTATATAAAGAGAAACAATATTGCGTACAATTATTTATTAATACATTTTGAAATAGAAATTTGTCATATTCGAATTAATTCACCCATATATATTTAAAATAAGACTTTATTTTTATTAGAATTGTTTAAATAATGATAAAAAAACAGGAAAGGTTGCTTATTGTTTCTAAAATATTGTACAAGAAAAAATAAATCGCTTAACAGCTAGGCCCCGGCGAGATTCGAACTCACGATCTCCTGTTTACTAGACAGGCGCTTTAACCAACTAAGCCACGGCGCCGTTGCGCTGTTCACGAAATACAGATATGAGTGTGACGTAGTCTATACTTTCGTATTACGTTTTATATATAAACCAGTAATTCACAAAAATTCAACAGACTTTCAATATCTTAGAATATTATTTACCTATACATATTTTTCCAGCAATTGCGAGTATATCTTTAAGACTACTAAACCTGTTTTGATAAAATCTAGGGATATTTATACGACACATGGCGCGAACTAACCGTTTGTCAAAATCCAATACGTTTGACATACAGAAGTCACAGCCTTAAATGTCAGTTCTAAATATTATCTCTAAACTGTTCCTAAGATTGGAATACACAGATTAAAATCATTTTTAATTTAATTTTTAGAGGTAGGCCAAAAATATAATTACGTTAATAAACCAATTACAATTAAAATTAAAGTAAGGTTTGTTAAGTATATTTTAGATTAATTAGTTATTAACATAAATATTCTAATTTTAATTTAATTATTATCCTTCCAGAATCACAAGTATTAGATGACGTGCGTAGAGTTGTATGTGATTTTAATTATACGCCCAAAGACCCTAAAGAGCTATGCAATAAATTACTCGTTACATGTTATATGGCTTCGAAAAACTCTAGCGAAGAAACTAAGCTACGAGCCAAGGAGGTAATACTAATTTTAAGACGTTCAAAAACTTAACAAACTATATTGAATTTATTTCTTATATAAAAATGTAACGAAGTGATCGAGAATGAGATGAAAGGCACAGAGACAGTCTGATGATAAAGCTTTTTTTTAGTTAATAATATTTTTATCTTAAAAGGCACAAAAAAAATTAGTGGTGCTATAACCTTTCAGTTTATTGGTGCACAGCCGGAGTTCGAACCTACGACATCAGGGATGAGAGTCGCACGTTGAAGCCACAAGGGCAACACTGCTCTCTTGTCAATTGTCGTTTTTGACATGCGGAAGTCCCCATATCCTGGAAGTCTATTCGACTTTCCGGAATAAAAAAAAACTTTTTTAAAAATATTTTTCCAAAATTTCTCTCTATAAAAACCTTATACAGAGTTCAAGGGATAAAAATTCGAATTCAGCATTCAGGTCCAAATGCTCTTAAGTTTTGTGCTTAGCATTTTTGCGGTTTTATTTGTATGTATATAGATTTTACGGTAACTTTTTTTTCTATAGAAAATACAACTTGGTTTAAGTAATAAACCACTAGCGACTGTTAACCCGAAGTAAAAACAGTTAATCCGAAGTTGTAACATCTTTTTTTAAACTAAAAGCGAATGTCTCGCTGTCCTGTATGCTTTATTACATATATTATATGAAAAAAATATCTAATATTTCAGTTGGCGAGTGAAATAGGCAGTTATCACTTTCCGATAATAATTGATACAGCTGTGAAGGCTGTATTGGCCATATTTCAAGCCGCCACAGGACTCATACCGAAGTTTAGAAGTAATGGCGGATGTCCAAGAGAGAATCTCTCCTTACAAAATATTCAGGTACATACATATATAGGTCGGTTAGCGAAAGCTGGCGCGTTCACAGTACTCACACTAATGCAATTTAACACTAATTAACTATACAGTATGTTTAAAAATATGACTTTTTTGCCAAGCTATATATTTTAGTCTACTCTGGTTTTAGTAAGGTTGGGTGGGTTGTAAATAAATAAAAATGTGTCAAATACATATAAATATTATGTGCATACGAGGGTGGATCCAAAAGTTCTAAGCCCGACCAAGAACGTAAAAGAGTAGTTTGTGTAAATAATTTTTCATTTTTCGATATAAGCGCCATCTAGCTCAACACATTTCACTTTTACTTCACTAACAATTCTTTCAATACTCCTTTTAGAAACCCCAGTCGCATCTGATGTCAAATTAAGAATTAAATTTTTTCATTAAACTGTTTTTATTAAGATGCTTAAAATAATTAAAAACATTGTACACCATTCCACGAGATTGTCCTGGTAATGTTTAGACGGAATATATTTCATAAGACTTTTTTTTTTCAAAGTATTCTAACCTCCAACCAAATAAGTAAACAATCACAGAAAATAATAATGAGAAGAAAGATCAACATAAACAGTAGCAAAAGCAAAACAATAACTGTCTCTTTTATACTCATAAGCTTGACCGAGCGCGAGAGAGACGGACAGTCTTTTCATGATGCATATTCAGTGGGACATCACGCGTCGCGCTTATTCACAGACACTACACAAGCACAAATTGTAAATGTGTTGAAGCCGCCAGCTTTAGATAACATACCACTACTGCTGGTATTTTTTTAAACCTTATTTGTTTATGAACGCTTGCCAACGCTCGGCACAATGATACATTTGTATAAGAAAAATAAATACAATATTCAATGTGACAAGCACTTAGGCACACATACACGAAGAGATAAAAAAAACAAAAAAAATCATTATAAAAACTATATTGTTGATAAAAAATGCTATGCAATAGCTTTACCGCGGCAGTCCCTGAGTGCCACGTTTTTTTTACATAAAAATATATTTATGAATTACAGGCTCGTATGCGTATGGTGTTCTCGTATTTATTCGCGCAACTGATGCTCTGGGTGCGAGGCAGGCCGGGCTGTCTATTAGTACTGGGTTCGTCCAACGTTGACGAAGCCTTGCGGGGTTATCTGACAAAGTATGACTGCTCAAGCGCAGATATCAATCCCATTGGAGGTATCTCGAAGACGGATTTGAAGTCTTTCCTGCATTACGCGAAAAATCGGTAAGTTGAATCTTAGACCCAAATAAAGACGGATTTAGAGTTCAACAACTAGATTTTTTTATTTAAGAACAATATTATCATGTTTGTACAACTTGCATCTTGTAAAACAGCAAAAAATATTTAAATCATTTTTTGTCTCTTTTGTGGATACCCGGATCCAAAGACGAGACACAGAGCTGAATTGTGTCTAGCCTATGGTTATTGGTTTATTGACTCAGCTTCCGCACTTTGACTCTCAATAGGTCCGTTGAGCGTAAAGTCCTGGCTAACTAAGCCAGCCTAACTCGGAAGGAGTTAGGCTGGCTTAGCACGGAAGCCTCCTGGGTACTTCGCAGGCTTCACGGAGCGTCACATTTTCGGCCGGGCACATTTTTCAATTTCAATACTAGTCTGAACATCTGGGTCAATACATACATTTGATTGTTAGTAATATATCCATTTCATTAAGCAGTGATGCCAGCTTAAGAATAAAATAAAGTAATTAAAGTTAATTCGATATATTGTTCGTGATATTGAAATATTTTTTATTTTTGTACTAGGTCACTTGAGTAAGAAAATATTAAAATTTACCTACAAATCTACAACGTACTGTAGATAAAACATAAAAAATACATAGCATTTTTTTATTGCCCTCAAATAAGTCAAATTTGTCCCTTTTTCGGTGGAGAACTTTTTTAGTAGCAACACTTATGGAATGTCAGAATTCTACGGAATAAAAAATCAGAGTATAGCTGCCTCCAAGTATCTTTTAAAATGATAGTTGCCGACCGGTAAGTAAATGGTAGTTGACAGTCTTGAGGTGATATTTAGTGGGTTGAGAATAAACTTATTGGTTTATTTTGCAGTCCATGATATTTGCAACATTCGCCTAATTTATTTTTGCAGTTACGAACTACCCTCGCTATCTGATATATTGGATGCGGCGCCGACGGCTGAGTTGGAACCGCTGTCCGAGGGTAGAATCACACAAACAGACGAGCAGGACATGGGGATGACGTATGCGGAGCTGTCCGAGTTCGGGAGGTTGAGGAAGATGCACTCGTGTGGTCCATACGCGATGTTCGAGAAACTTGTCCATATTTGGAGTGAAAGGACGCCGCAGGAGGTAAATTTATTTTATTCATTTTTATTTTGTGCGTTTGTAATTAAACTAAACGGCTAAACCGATTTTCATGATTTTTTTGTGTTTTCAAGTGGATTCGAGAATGGTTTACATTTTCTATCAGACATTTTTTTTGTTTATTAAATAAAACTTGATAACAAAACGACGCAATAGAAATATTGTGTTTAGGATTTGATAATAATGTTAAATTATATTTAAAATTCTTATTAGTTTTCAAATTCATTTTCAATTATTGTTCATCGTAATATGAGTGTCTCTCTCTCTCTTTTATTATTAATAAAATAGTTAATCGTTTGACAGAAGCATTAATCTTATTACTGTTATTACCGATTGCCTTTTTGACAGATTTCATAACACACGAACTTAATTGATGAATTTTGTCAGGTAGCAGATAAAGTGAAGCATTTCTTTCGTTGCTACGCGATTAACAGGCATAAGATGACAGTATTGACCCCTTCGTACCACGCTGAATCGTATAGCCCGGATGACAACCGTTTCGACCATAGACCTTTTTTGTATCCAGTTAACTGGGCATGGCAGTTCAAGAGGATCGATGAAATGGTAAATCTTGTTTATTGTTCTCCTGAGTTCTTCTCGTTCTCTTGGCCTCAGATTTCTGTTTTGGGGTTTCACCATGCGTGTATTAATGCATGCACGAACTCAGGGTTTAGAGGGCCACACTCTAAGCCAATAAAGTAATGAAACCATGAAACTTGTATTGTATAATGTTATTTGTATCTCTCTTATTATGAACTGAGACTCCATGTTATATTGGACGTCAAGCATTTCTTAAATTAATGTCATCACTTGCTTTATATGATTTATAACACTTCAAAAACTTGTATTGTAACAATTTAAAATTAAGAACTGTAGACCATGTAACAAGCTAGTAAAATGCAAGGAACGAAGATGGTATCAAATAGCCACTTCTTACTTGCGTATTACCGCGACCATATTCTAATTAGTATATCACGTTACAATCTCGGCTTGAACACTAAAATACGTTTTAGAAAAAACGATTTGAACACTCTTAGTAGATTTAAGTTTGATTGACGTACAGACCTTATGGTTAAAGCCCCGTTTTTCAGAGAAACTCTAAAAAATATTTTGTTATATTTTTTGTGATGGTCATAATGTATTGTGAAATAAATTTTGAAATAGGATCATTACTTTAGTAAGTAAATTTTTACGTTTTCTGATGGGAAATTGTTTTGCTGGGAATCGAAGTCAGTTGCAGTATGTGCGATAAGCCACTGAGATTAGCCTTTTTTATTTATTTGTACATTTATCCATGAAAACCCATCTTCGTTTTGAAAGAGAAAGAAGCACGACACCGAAGACTTTAATGGTATGTAATGTAAAAATTAATCAATTTTGATTAATTTTGGTTAAGCAGTTGCAGCATAAAAGTATGTTAAACGTTGGATGTTATATTGTAATACTGAATTATATTTCAGGTGGCAGCGATGAACAATAAAAAGGCTAATTAAATAGAACACCACACAAAACGTAGAAAAAGTGCAAGAAATATGTATTTTAATGCCAATCTAGTATTGGAAATAAACGGGCTTTATTATTATTTATGCCAATGTAGAATATATATATTTGTTAAAAATATACTCAATACTATATTATACACTATATTTTATTTCCCCTATAAACCTTAATTATATATATTTTTAATTTTATTTATTTACAACACAATTTTTACCTAACAAGTGACTCTACATCGTCAAGATAACAACATATACAAAGGATACAAAAAAACAAAAGAATTAACTAATTATTATGACACTTACAAATTTGTTCTGTAAGTTTGAATAATGACTATTTTTATTCAACATAATGTTTGTGCGGAGCTTCATCCGTTATTTCATGATGCAGGAACTTGTGGATCATGCGAGACTTCATCAGTGGTGCACTAAGCACTAAGTCTCGATCTGAGTCTTACCATTAAATGTAGAGATTTTCAGCACTGCAGTTTTTGCAAAATAGATAGTATTAAAATACCGAATTAATTAAATTTTATCATAAATAATCCCATATTTCACGAACTTAATCCCTTTTAAGTATGTCTTACTACTCCATACAATACTCCATTTCACTCACCCTATTAATATAACGAAAGATATAAAAAATGATGATTTTTTTAACCGACTTAAAAATACCGGATCAATTTGAAGTGTAATTTTATTGTGTATATTCATCTTATTTTGAATTGCTCTATCTAGTGACAAATATAGTCAAACACCACATGTATTAACATTTATAGCGCCATCTGCAAATGAATTTATGAAACTATGTTCTGTTTACAGCCATCTTGTGGCTATAAGTTAAACAACATACAGCAATTAAAGCGGGATCCTACTCCATTATGCCTTTATCTAACAGATAGCGCTTGTCTGTTTTTTTATTTTATCTTCAGCCGTACAGATAATCACTTAATGGTGCCAAACAAAATAGTGATAACGCCTTGTGCGGGAGTGGGTACAGCCCCTCCGCTTCCTTCACGTCCTTCTGCGTAGCCGGTGTCCTCCTAGTAGGCACTGCAACGGGGAGTAAGTACTCCAACTACTCTTTATCAACCGGTTTACAATCAGCGTCCACTGTTGGACGGGTCCAGTCACACATACGCACAGCCGTAGAGGCTTTAGTCAAAGTAATCCCCTAGGGGCTGGTTAGGTCTCTGACGAACCTCACCTCCGCTACCACCAGCGGAGACACACACCTAGGGCAAATCACACTAGCTTAGGTACGCACCATACGTAGACTTAGGTATACTGATTAAAGTATTCTAGATCACGATTACAATCTGTGCTTCATCAACTAGGCTTAAGGTGGCGCCAAATCTAATTTTGTAAATAACATCGCAATTCACAGTTCTATCGCATTTTGGCTTTAAATCTGAAGATTGAATGAATTGAATGGATTTTATTAGTATCTAAATCTCCTAATGGCACAAAGCCTTTAAAGATATTAAAAAGGATTAGTTCGCTCGGGACTTTTAGATAATTTACACATCTAATATAAATGTAATTTTATAGCCACAAAACTATACCAACCTACGGTTATTTATGTTTGAAATGAAGCCCTGCTTAAAATTCCCAATACACCTTGTGTTTACGTAACAGCTAAAATATTTGAATGATAGTAATACAGCATACTATTATTTGTTATTTAGACGTATGGACGTTGTTAATTCGTAAAGAAATTTGTATGTCGAGTCTAATAAAAAGTTAAACACTGGATTGATTTTATAAATTCTTTCAGTATTAGAATACATGTCCGAGATTAGGATATAATAGAACACGGTGTAATTTGTTTGATTACAATGGCAACACCACGCAATATCATAGACATCTTACAGGTTGTAAAGTGTCAATGTGTCAATTGTCAAAGTAAAGCTGTAGTGCGTAGAATCGGTCGTGAAGAGCTTGAGTTGCTTTCCGATCGGCGCCTGCGCCGGACGTGCAGAGCGCACGACTGTGTTTAAATATTAAATATTAAGTATTAAGTAATAATGTCGGACGACGGTAGTGATACCAACTTTGTAATTATTAATCGCGTTGAATCTCCGACATCAGAAGTGGGATCGATACAAAATTCATCCTGCGTGCCTACCGCAATGCCTGCTACTGGAAATCGTGAATATTTCACACCTAATTATGAAGTAAATTTCAAAATATGATGGCAGGCTTCCAAAATACCTAGAACTTCTAAAATAGAAACCATCGAGTGTGGGTGATAAAAGGACGCTAAAATCTAGTGAGATTTATCTAGTACCCGTTGTGGGTGTGGTGTGTGTGCGGTGTGTGTGGTGTGTTGTGTTTGTACATGGGAAGAGTTTAAGGACCGACTTGCTCTTCAGTGTGTTGGAATAAGGACGTTTCACGACTTGTTTCGCGATATGGTCGACTATTCGACTGACCACGCGGTGACCTATTTTATTGGTGGTAATCCACCAACAAAATGGTGCTGATCGACCGGCTGGAGACAAGTTTGGGTGAGTCCAATAAAATTATGATGTAAAGGTACGCACAGATTTACTTAAAAAATACTCCGACTAGTGTCACATTTGAATACGTATTACGTATAAACATAAAAATGAGGGTACCCACCCTCGCACGTCTGTTGATAAATCTAGTGAACAGCAATAGTTAGTAGAACGCGATGTTCATATTGCCACTGATTTATTTATTTTATTTAACGAGAATAAAAATTTAAAGATTGCAATTTACAATCAAAATTGGTCAACGTTTGTACATCCTCTAATCAAAATTTGCATAAGGCAGTTATACTTTGCAAGCACTGATTGACAGTGGTTCAGGATGTTCCCTGATTAAAAAGAAGTTTGTAGGGTTCCATACCGAAATAACGTTTGTCATTGTTGATTCACATTTGCTGCAGTATGACGTAATGTTAGGTAGAGAGACATTTAAAACACCCGGACAAACATCAAAGTTTACCCTTAATAGCGACGGCGCTAAGATTTTACGCGATGCTAGTGTCAACGCATGTCGTGCTTTAAGCATAAGTACAGAGTTGGGTAAAATTTGCACCGACTTAACTGAGCGTAACGATATTGAAAGACTAAGGGCTATTGTGACAAAATATAAAGGAAATTTTACTAGTGGAAATTCTAATACTATCGTTAATACAAATTACGTTACAAATTAATCTAAAAAGTAAAGGTTGGCTCCTTCTGAACGTAGCGTAATGCGTGAGATTATTACTGATTTGGAACGAAAAGTCCGTGCGAGCTCTTCGCCTTTTTCTAGCCCTGCATTTCTTGATAAGAAGATAGACGGGTCGACCGTCTTTGCGTTGATTATCGGGAATTTGGGGCCTACCATGAACTCTTATTGCGAGCCTATTGACAACCTACAACTGAGATGCATCGCTAATTCGTACCATGACATCGAAAAAACGAGACAGTTTATGTTCCCACGTGACCTTGGGCGGTTATCAGATTTCGTTCGTTCAATTTGTATGAAAATCCGTACCATGACCCCTCGGCTGAACCGAAATTTGACAGTCGCGCCTTCCAACTATGACAGAATCGCTTATTCTAAAAAAGTTACTTTTTGTTCAACTTTTTTGTATCGAAATGTCCAAATAATAGTTTAGAACCTATAAAATTCAATATTTGTATTAAAACTTGTTAATAAAGTTAAAATAATAAGATTTATCTACTATGGCTAATATAGGAAAAAAAATATAATTTTTATATTTACGATGTTTTGGGGTATTTTGAGTTTAGAGTGTGATTATAAATAAATTATTAAAATATAGACGGAGATGAGAAACAAGACGGCAATGCCCTTCCGACTACCGACTTCGTAGATATTGAGTTTATAATTTACTATAGATTATAGACTTTGATTCATTGAAGATTTCAGTGTACCTACAAATAATTGTAGGTACATTGTTCAATAATATTCAATTAATTATTTATGCATGTCTAACAAAAACTTGATCCCCCAATATAATATTTTACAATAAATAAGAATGCCATTGTACTATCAGATATTTATTATAATTAAATTTTTCCTCACTATGTTCATGAATTGTATTATTCTCCTCTGCTTTTTGTTGTTTAAAAAAACATAGGTATTTTTAAATTTATAATGTGTAAATAATAAGCCATTTAAAAATATTATAATAACAGTATTTATTTAGTTATGATGACTCCGTCAAGATAGAAAAAGATGTCTTCAGGCAATGTTCTATTGGATATAAACATTTTTTTCATATAGACTCTCAATTTAGCGATTTTGTCAGGTTAAGCTGTAAAGAAAATTATTATTATTATTATAGCCTCTTTATTTCTATAATAAATAACATATTAAACAAGTATATCATATGATTAATTATTACATAATATGTGCATGCATTAAAAAATACAATATTATTATTTATAATCTTTAAATTATATTCCAATCATAATTAATAATTTCAATGTATATAAGTTTGAAATGATAAATTAATTAATAAGAATCAAAAACAAAATTCCTTTTTATAAATCATTATAAAGTATCATTAAATCATTATGGACCCCTCTACGGGTAAAGGCCTCCTCCATTTTGTTCCACATCTGTCTGTCTTTTGCTTTGGTGGTCCAGTTTTCACCAGCTTTTCTTTTTATTTCATCAATCCAGTTTTAGTTTGGTCTACTTCTTAATCTTTTTGTTGGTTCTTGCCAGGTGCCCTTGGTGTCCATTTTTCCTTGTCCATGCAAGCAGTAAGACCCGCCCAATTACATTTTTGTCTAAAGCGTCTATTATTTTTGTTGTTTTCCTTATTTCTGTATTTCTCTTCCAATGTTGTCTTTGTATGTTTAGTAGACTCCTTTCCATCGTTCTCTGGCACACTTCTATTTTGTTTTTGGTGTAGTTATTGTAAATCCATGTCTGGAAGCCATATGTAAGACAAGGTATTAAATATGAGTCCATTATTTTTTTCTTAAGTTTTAAAATTCTGATTTAAGGGT